TTAAATTTTTTTTAACGTTTATTGATTTTTGAGACAGGGAGAGACAGAGCATGAACGGGGGAGGGTCAGAGAGAGAGGGAGACACAGAATCTGAAACAGGCTCCAGGCTCTGAGCTGTCAGCACAGAGCCCGACGCGGGGCTCGAACTCACGGACCGTGAGATCATGACCTGAGCAGAAGTCGGCCACTCAACCGACTGAGCCACCCAGGTGCCCCCTCATTGATTTTTTTAAAAGATACTTATTAAATAAACTTACATTTTTTTCTTATTATTTTATTTCATTTTAATTAGTTTTTCCTTCCAAATTAGGCTAGTAGTGGAATCTTTAAAATCCAGAAAAAGGTTTGCAGTGGTAATGGTAATGTTTTTATTATTAACCTATTGCATAAATTTGGGATTAAGTACTTAAAAAAATTTATAAATTCTGAATTTAAGTTTTGAATAGTCTGGTAAGATAATAGATTGAAAAATTAAAAATATGCTTTGAAGAAATTAATGTAGTGACATTTTTATGTAGTTTTATTTTTATCCACGGTTTTCTCTTTTGAATTTGAGCAAATGGCTCCAATTTGGCCTCACGTGTTTTTATTTTATTTTTTCCCCCAGGGTCTAGGGTTATGACTATTTGAAAAAAATATTTTTTAATGTTTATTTATTTTTGAGAGAGAGACACAGAGTGTGAGCAGGGGAGGAGCAGAGAGAGAGGGAGACCCTGAATCCAAAGCAGTCTCCAGGCTCCAAGCTGTCAGCACATAGCTCGATGAACCCATGAACCACAAGATCATGACCTGAGCTGAAGTCAGATGCTTAACTGACTTAGCCACCCATGTGCCCCGGGTTATGACTATTATTAATCAGTCATTTAGTAGTCATTTAGTAGATCACGGCTACTACTCACATTTTCTAAAATTAAGAAATCTTATTGCTGAATTCCTAAACATTCTTAAAAAGCTTTTTTTTGGTAGCTTTATTAAAATTTAACAAATTTTTAGGAATCTGAAGTATATTTTGTGTCTCAATTTTGCAGCAAATGACATCTTTATTTCTCGGTACACCATGGGACAGAAGGATGCTCTGAGAGCAGTTTTAAAGCAAAAGTAAGTTTCATTTACAAAAATTAAGTGGGCCATTTCTTATGTTTTTATATGGTTCTCAAAGATTAGTTTCATTTTTCAATGTGTGAAATACGTATAAAGCATTTTTTATGGTGCTGGACACATAAAATACTCAACAGCTATAACAAGTTTTAGTATAGAAGAAGTACTGTTCTAAGCATTAACTCAATACTCACAAAATCCAATGAAGTATATTCCATCACATCTCAATTTTACAGAATCCCCATGTTATAGATGAGGAAACATGATGGCACATCATAGATGTGCACACAGAGATGCATATAGATGAGGCACACAGAGATTGATCTTTCCGCAGGTCATTTAGGAAGTATTCACTGGGCTAGGATTCAGACCCAGGCAGTCTGCCTCTAGAATTTGCTCTCTTAATCACTTCACTATACTACTTGTAGCAATGGTCAAGTAGTTCCAAGTACGTAATACTTACTATTTACTATCCAAGGACGTTTAGATTTTTGCTTGTCAAGATTTAAGAAAGGGACAAGGTTAGCATCTGGATGGAGTGAAGGGAGACCACGGCTACTACTCCATCTAAATGTTCCCTCCCAAGTTTATCTTAAATACCAATGAAATACAAAACCAACCCTGACAACAGCACCATGATAAGCATATGTCTTCACTACTCTGGAGGCAATTTTTATTATTATTATCATTAGTGGAGATGGGATGAGATACATATCCTTAGGCTAAATGTATCCTACTCCTGAAATGGTACAGTCTGGAAGGCCCCTTAGAAAATAAGAAAAATGTTTACTTCATTTTGAATTCTCATTTTATTAAAAAAGGAAATTTTATATTCAGTAAATGGAAAATCAGTATGGTGTTTTCAATAATAGAATTTAAATAAATAAACTACTTATAACTATTAAATAAAAACTGTTTAAAAGTTTATTATTTTTTCACCTACAGTTGTCCATGGCATACATATTATGCACTGGGAAGCATTGGACTAACAAAAGTAAATACTATCTCTAAAACACAAGGGGGTGATCTGAGCCAGCCAGAGTTTAATAGCTGGTTGTTTGTCCTCATCATGTTTTTCCTTTTTACCTTTGTTCACCAAACGATTCCCAATATGTGGTATAGTGGTTAGGAAAGGAACTTGGATGGTAAATTATATCCTGGAGTTTATAAATATATAAGAAAAAGTGAAAGTAAGGGCATGAGTTGTGGTACGGTCTTTCAAAGTCTATAGTTGAACCAAAAATCACAGATTACATCTGACTCATTTGGACAGACAGTGATTACCACTCCTTCCAGCTGACCCCCAGAAGAAGAGGTTGCTTGCAACCATAGTAGGGACCTTATCAACTTGTTTTCAAGTTCGAACTCTTCGAACTGAAATCTCTCGGAACTCTCAGATCAGGGAGGGAGAAGTTGTTCATTAACAAATAGACAGTGAACAGTAATTGAACACTACACTTCTTAGTAGGTCTCTTCCCATTCAGAATGAATGAACAGAATTCGAAAGCAAAAACAAACTAGGAAAGGCGTCGAGAAGCTGACTGCAATGTATAGAATAATAACTGAATCAGAAATACAAAAATGACCCCTGTTGGGTTAAAAGACAATCTAACTATGTCTCAAGAGATAGATTTTGCTGTAGTCAATGTCACTTGAATTTATTGTGGTTTTTTAAAAATGTTTATCTGTTTTTGAGAGAGAGCACATGGGAGAGGGGCAGAGATAGAGGGGGACAGAGGACCCAAAGCAGGATCTGTGCTGACAACAGAGAGTTTATATGTGGGGCTTGAACTCACCAACCGTGAGATCATGACCTGAGCCGAAGTTGGATGCTTAACCAATTGAGCCACCCAGGCGCCCCTTGAGTTTATTGTTTTTAGAGAATAGTAGATGGAATTTGGCAAAGTGATCCTAAAATTTACCTGGAAGGACATACAGTTGAGGATATATATACATAATAATTACATACATATGGAATACACATAGTTGAGAATAGCTAATATGGGGGGAAAGAACTTGAATGATGGAAAATTTGCCCCATTTGATATGATATGCTCTAAAGCTGTACTAGTAAAAAGTAATAGACTGGAGCCAGGAATGAAGAGTATGGCCAGAGCATCTAGAACAGGGTAGAATGCCCTTACTGTGTAGCTGGAGAGGAAGCAAGGGGCTAGGTTATAAACTTTAAAGAAGAGAAGTGACAAATCATCTTAAAATGTTAAATTATGATATATAATTCTTAAAAGGCTCATTCAGATAGCAGTTATCAAAAGATGGATCAGGGGGTGCCTGGGTGGGCTCAATCAGTTAAGCATCTGACTCTTGGGTTCAGCTTAGGTCATGATCTCGTGGTTCGTGGGTTCAAGCCTGCATTGGGCTCTGCATTGCACTGACAGCACAGAGCCTGCTTAGGATTCTCTCTCTCTCTCTCTCTCTCTCTCTCTGCCCTCCTCCTCCTAAAAAAAAAAAAAAAAAATAGATGGATTGGAAGAGGACTGAAGTATTCAGTCCAGGAAACCAACTGGCTACAAATTTTGTAGGGATCTCTTTGAGAGAGATTCAGTTGGTCCTCAGTACATTGGAGGATGGTAGAGTGAAGGCATGCTGGTTTGGAGAAGAGTAGACGGATTTGGAAGATGACTTAGAGATGGAATTGACAATTAGATGTGAGAGTGAAGAAGGAGCTAAGGATGAATCCCAGATTTTTGGTTTGTATAAATGCATGGTCAGTAGTAGTGTTCACTGAGAAAGGACTCTGGGGCGCCTGAATGGCTCAATGGGTTAAGCATCTGACTCTTGATTTGGGCTCAGGTCATGATCTCAGAGTCATGATATTGAGCCCCATGTTGGCTCTGCACTTGGTGCAGAGCCTGCTTTGGATTATCTCTCTTAAAATAAATAAACTTTCAAAAAATTCTAAAAAAGAAAAAAATTGAAGAAAAAATTTCTTCTTTCCCAGTTTTTTACACTTCATAGCTATTTACATTTGTTACGTTGAGGACTTAATTTGCTAATTAGAAAAAACAAAACTTAAAAGCCTATAAAGAAGTTGATGTCTAGTTTTACCTTGTTATTTCTCTTGTTGGTTAATTTACTTTCACTTTATTTATTTTAATGTTTATTTACTTTTGAGACAGAGACAGAGGGTGAGCAGGGGGAGGGTCAGAGAGAGAGACACACACAGAATCCAAAGCAGGCTCCGGGCTCTGAGCTGTCAGCACATAGCCCGACGTGGGGCTTTAACTCATGAACTGTGAGATCATGACCTGAGTGGAAGTCAGCCGCTTAACCGACTGAACCACCCAGGCACCCCTCTTATTGATTAATTTAATGTAATCATGTAGAATGAACGATCTTAAAGGGTAAACACATTCAGACTTAAGACAAGAATACTAAAAGGCAGGAATATCTGAATTATATTTTTTTCAACGCCACTTAATCCGATTTATATTGAGAGCCTGCTATGTGCTTAGTTCTTTCTTACTTGCTGTTTGGCATTTAAGAAATCCCCCTTCTCTGCCCCCACCTCCGCCCCAGGTTGCTTAGAGCTTAGTTGGGGAGAGAATATGTACGTATGTGGGGGAATGAGTGATTAGAACTGTGATAGGAAGCAGTATTGCATTTAATAGATTATGAAACTGTTCTGCATAGACATTTAAACCATGGGATGGCTGCTTATCAAGCCTCAATTGTGTAGTGTGGGCAGTAAAAGCAAAAGGAGCTAGGAAGGGACAGATCAATTGGAAGTGTTTAAAGACAAGGTTTTGAAAAGGGGAAGGCTTGTGTTGGATCTTAAAGAAAGTTGAATGGAGGAAGGTTGAGAGATCAGTGAGAAGCATGGAGTCAGCTGTGGGAAGGGAGTGGTGTAGCCAGTGAGGAGCAGTGTGACTCCTGAGAGTTGTCTGTGAAGTGATAGGAGGCAAGGGCATGGCCAGAGGATAGTATGTGTGGAAGGTCAAACGAAGAAATTAGCCTACCCATTTGTCTCTAAGGAATAATTTTAGATTGTTGAATGGTGGAGAAATGTATTTGGGAACTTTTTTTTTTTTTTTTAAATTTTGTTTTTTTTCAACGTTTATTTATTTTTGGGACAGAGAGAGACAGAGCATGAACGGGGGAGGGGCAGAGAGAGAGGGAGACACAGAATCGGAAACAGGCTCCAGGCTCTGAGCCATCAGCCCAGAGCCCGACGCGGGGCTCGAACTCCCGGACCGCGAGATCGTGACCTGGCTGAAGTCGGACGCCTAACTGACTGCGCCACCCAGGCGCCCCTGTATTTGGGAACTTTTTAAATGAATAAAATCTGCAAGAATGAAATAGTTGGCCAGAGGTGATGAAGTTGGGTTTTTTTGTTTGTTTGTTTGTTTGTTTTGTTTTTACCAGAGAAGGAGAAGCACGAAGGGAGAAGTACTATTCTGAGAGAGTGAGATGTTGTGGGAAGATCTCTAGGATCTTACCAACCCTACCTTACTGTTCTGTGACCTTGATTAAGTAAATCCTGTTACCTCTGTGAACCTCCGTTTCATCTATAAAATTAGGAAGTTAGGATCGGTGGCCTTTTGGGTTCCCCCTGCCTCTGTAGTTCTGTGACATCATTCCTGCAATTGTGACGAAATAATTGACAAAACTTGATGACTCCATGGGGTGTGAGAAGGTAAGTGGAAGATAGAGAAGTGGAAGATAGAGATAATGTCAAAATTTTGAGACAGATGCTCTTAGTCAAAATGAGGAAATATCAAAGCGAGTAAGTTTACGAGCTGCTCTGGGTCTTCTTAGAGATCAGCTGGAAAGTCCAGCAGCTAGAGATGGAGTGCATTCCTTTCGGTCTTATTTGGACTTCACTAGGGACTCTGGTTGTGTCAGTGGTTCCTTTTTTATTATTTATTTATTTTTTAAATGTTTGTTTATTTTTGAGGGAGAGAGAGACAGAGTTTGAGCGGGGGAGGGGCAGAGACACAGAATCTGAAGCAGGTTCCAGGCTCTGAGCTGTCAGCACAGAGCCCAACACGGGGCTTGAACTCATGAACAGTGAGGTCATAACCCTAGCCAAAATCGGTCGCTTAACAGACTGAGCCACCTCGGTGCCCCATCCGTGGTTCCTTTCTGTCTCTGTCTGTCTGTCTCTCTCTTCTTTTTGGGCCAGATATAGAACACAATCAACCAGTTTTGTTTTGTTTTGTTTTGTTGGTATTTATTTAAATCTTTCATTATAAATATGTATCTATTTGCTCTCATTTTTAATCCAGGCTGCTTAAAACTGTGTTTTGTGCCCCGTTTTAACAAACTGTGTGACATCTATTAAACCTAAATGAGCTAGAATTAAAAACAGTTTTTAAGCAGTTTTAAAAATTTATCTTAGGTTGTCTTTCTTTGGAAGTACTTGAATTCTTAGAACTTTTTCTACATGATTTGAATTCATACTTCTTGATTATGTATCTTGGTAATTGTGCTCATGTCTTTTTCATATATGTAAGCATTATTATCTGAAATATCATAGCCTTCAAGGAATTATTTTATTTCTTTAGTGTTTAGTTAGTGACTTGACCTTTCATAGATTTCATGAACCAAATGACTGGTAAGATCCTTATAGGGAAAACCAAGTGATTTAATGTTTTAAAAAATCTAGAAAACCCACCTTCAGCAGATTACCACTCTAGGTGCTTCTTGAAATGGTTCCATGTAGCTTGCTGAATATATTTTTATACATTTTTTATTTACAGAACTCAAAACATGCCTGTTTTTAAGGAAGTAAAGGTACAGCTTTTAGAAGATGCAGGCACAGAAAAGGACGCTGTTACTCAGGAGACTAGAACGTCACCCAGTGGAATTGATTCAGCCACAACCGTGGCCGCAGCAACTGCGGCTGCCATTGCAACAGCAGCTCCGCTGATAAAAGTATATATTTTACCCCAGATACTCACAACATCTTTGTGAAATGTAAAATTATTTATTAGGAACTGATTCTACAAGTGATTGTATCCAACTATAGACTAAGGTTGTTCTAGTTGCTCTCACTTTGAAAGAATTTTCCTGTTGGTGGTTGTATATTACCTCTCAGGCATTTGTGATAATGCTAAAGGACCAAGGACTGCCTGGATTTAGCACTGATCCAGGTTCATCAGGGAGCCTCCAAGTCCTGGGCAACCTGGGACAACTGCTCATCCTTATTTTGGAAAGGCACCCCGTGTCTGTGCCACCTGCCTCAGTTTGCAAATGGGAAAACTGAGAAACAGAGTGACACAGGTCCCCAGGCTAATAGGTGGCTGATCTAAGACTAGGATTCCAGGCTGCTGACCTAATTCAGTCTGAGATGAGTGAAGTTTCTAAAGCTAATTTGTTGTATTATTTGCTTCTTTTTAATTACTGTTTATTTCATTTCTGGAATTATAAAAATTCTTTTGTTGCAAATGTGTTATTTTCTTACTGAGAGAAAAGATCTACTTCAGAATAGCTATCTTTTGCCTTTTATTTCTGTGATTCTAAAAATAAAGGTATAAAATCATCAGATTTAGAGAGTAAAAATCCGGTTTGATCATTTTTATTAGAAATCACTTTAAACAACATTTCTAGTAACTGATCGTATTGTTTATATCCTTTGATATTTTATTATTTTAGGTACAGAGTGATTTGGAAGCAAAAGTCAATTCTGTTACAGAATTACTCAATAAGTTACAGGAGACTGATAAACAGTTACAGCGTGTTACAGAGCAACAAACAAGTATTCAGAATAAACACGAGAAATTACATTGTCATGATCATGAAAAGCAAATGAATGTTTTTATGGAACAGCACATTAGGCATCTTGAAAAATTACAACAGCAACAAATAGATATTCAGGTATCTATAATAAAGCCAGCACACATCTCATGGTTTTTTATCACTTGCGTCCCTAAACTGATATTTGTTGATAATTGCAATAATAGCTCATTAGATTGTTGCAGCTTTAGTTCTTAAATAATGATTTGCTTATTATCACTCTTCCTCTCCATGTGGAGACTTCTCTGCACATTCAAGTTCAAGTATCATTAGTTCTGTAAGACACTTCCTTAGAGTTGGCTTTTCCTTCTTTTGTGGTATTTCTGTTCATACCATTTTTACAATGCTAATATTACATTGCCATGACTTGTTTACATCAGTGGTTGTTAGCCTGAGAATGTGCATCAGAATCACTTGAAATGCTTTATAAAAATACACATGCTTGTACCTCTCAGGGATTGAGACAGCAGGTCTGAGATGGGACCTGGGAATAGGAAGTTCTGTAATGATTCTGATGAGATGAGTAACCAGCTGGTATACACATTGCTTCTGCATTTAATTAATTAAAAGAATGAACATATTTAATTGCCTTTTGAATATGAGGCACAGGGATATTATAAAAAGAAGAGTTACCCTCACAAGGAGCTGATAGTACAGTTTCTTATTTATTTCTGAATTTCTAAGTCCTGGGATAGTACCCCGCACTCAGGGGCTATATATATACACACACATTTTCTTTAAGTGAATGAATGACCTGCACTATAAATGCATTGGTTTTAATTTACTTTTATTTTTGTCTAATTAATGTGTAAATTTAAGACTTAAAAAAATTAAAATATCACATTCAGAAGAATACAGAAAAATAAGTTTTTTATAACTCAGTATGTTAACACAGAGTAAACACTAATCTGCTATAATTTTCAAAACTTCTTAATAGGACTTGGCTTGAGCTTTCCATGTAGTTGAAGATTGTATTTTCAGTGGAGTGGTTATAGCCATACAAAGTAAGGTTTTAGTAAGTACTACATGCACAACTAAAATTGTGTGTGCAGCATGGTGTCTCATGAGACGCTAGGAGTGGGTCTATTAGAACACTGGTCTTCAGTCTGCAAATAACCGTACTTCTCTGAGCCTTGATTTCTTTACTCAGAAAAATCTTTTATTTATTTATTTTTTTGTTCAGGGTAAAATGAGATGACAGATTTGAAAAGCACATAGATTTCTTAAGAAAAGGGTCCTACTTGTCTTCGTTATATGCCTGTCTGCCATTTATCTAGTCTTCCATAAATAATAAATTCCTTCTGCATTTAATTTGGAAGAATGGGATCTTTTCTAATTCAGACGTCTTATTTATAAAGCTTCTAATTGCAGAGAAAGTTGAAGTTTTAGTGACATACTAGGTATATTAGTAATTCGATAAATGCTTCATGAAATGAAATTTGTTGAGTCTGTCCCATATGTTTTATGTAGAGAGATGTCTACACATTTTTAAGAATTCTGTAAAACTGTAAGTCTTGTTAGGTTTTCCTTTACCTGGTATGAGACCCTCTTTTGAAATTAGTTTTATTAGGTAAGATACATACACATTCCAGGTATTTTAATAAATTGTACTGAAAACTGCTGTCCTTGTAGTTCCGGTTTATATTTAAATGCATACGTTATTGTTGCTGCTGCTAATTTGAGTGCCTACTAGCAATGTTTTTTAATCCTTCAAACAAAATCATGCAGGATATAAAAGATGAGATATTTTGGTTTGAAATTCTCTGGTTGAAGTAGAGGTCTAGGGCTCCTTCCTTTTGGTCATCTCCTAGTATGCCTCAGTGGCTCCTGAGCCATCTCAGAAGTAGAAAGGAGGAAACTGAGGTTTAGAATGATTAAATAAAATGAATAAGGTCACACCACAGAGCCAGGCTTAACCCAGTGACATCACTGCTGCAGTGTGTAACTGCATGTAATATATGTATTTTTATTGCTTATTAAATCTAATACATTTTTTCAAGTCCTCTAGTAAGTTTTAATGTAGTCTGTCATCTAGCTCTTTTAAATGGTATTTGAAATTGATCAAATAATTTTATGTCTCCTAGACTCATTTCATTAGTGCTGCGCTCAAGACCGGTAGTTTTCAGCCTGTTAGTATGCCTCCTTCCAGAGTGATGGAAAAGTATTCTGTACAACCAGACTATTCTGATCTTGGTAGCAGTAATCTGTCTTCACATAACACATTTGCTTCCAGACAAGGTAAAAATATGTAGTTCTCTGTGAATAAAACATGTTAGCTACGAATTTTCTTTATAGTATGGCAGCCAAAAACTTGTTTACTAGGTGGTGGAAGACTAAGTCTTCATTCTACAAAATTAGTTCTTGTGAGTTAATTTTTTTGTCATTTGAGAACTTGTTCAGTCAAATTAGGGGTCATGTCCTACTGTATGGTTTTGATTAATAACCTTCATAAATTGTCAGAAGCACTTACAAGTTGAGAAAAATTCATTTGTCTAGTATCACAAATGCTTGTAATCAATTTTCCAAATCCCTAACTGCATATTTACTCTTTATATTGATTCTTTCAGGAGAGAAACCACCTTACTACAATAATAAGCTATTTCTAATTATTTTCACAGTAATAGAATTTAAAAAATCTTTGTTTATAGTAACAACAAAGGAATGCATAACCAATTTGTATTAAAGCTCTGGAATTTAAAATAAGTGAATAAATATGTTTCTAAGTTTTATTGATATTTGAATAATGAATTAATAGAAATCAAGGGCTATCCATTTTATGATACACAGATCCATGTAGTACAATATCCTCAACATTTGATACGTTAGACCATTGTTGTATTATAGGTGCATTAAAGACTCCTTAGACTTGTAAGCTGCTCTGTATTTTTCCACAAATGAGTGGTCCTTACAAAACTGTTGTGAAAGTAGTATGAATCAATTTTTAAGTTGTGAAGTGAGGAAGATGAAGCACAGAAAGGTTATGACTTGCCTGCTTCTGGTCACCTGACTTGAGAGTGAATTTGTCTATTTGGCCAGAACTCAGGTTTCAGTATGAACCAGCTACATGCTTTCAAAAGAAGTGGACATTTTATTCTCCGTTCTGGAGAATTACTTGCTCATAATTTTGTTTTTTTAGACTTGAGTTTTATTATTTTTTTTTAATGTTTATTTTATTTTATTTTTTTTTGAGACAGAGAGAGACACAGCATGAGCAGGGAAGGGGCAGAGAGAGAGGGAGACACAGAATGTGAAGCAGGCTCCAGGCTCTGAGCTGTCAGCACAGAGCCCGACGCAGGGCTCGAACTCATGAACTGTGAGATCGTGACCTGAGCCGAAGTCAGACGCTTAACCGACTGAACCACCCAGGCGCCCCTAGACTTGAGTTTTAAAGGAAAAATGCATGTTTTATTGGTTGTCTTTCTTTGTATATTTTAGTGACAGTAAAAGAAAATTTTAAAAAATGAGTAAATGTAAACTTAAACTTTCTATTTTTATTTTTTAACATTTTTAACTTATTTTATATACTTATTTTTTTCAATTTTTTTAAATGTTTATTTTTGAGAGAGAGAGAGTGAGCATGAGTGGGGGAAGGGCAGAGGAAGAGGGAGACAGAATCCAAAACAGGCTCCAGACTCTGAGCTGTCAGCACAGAGCCCGATGTGGGGCTCTAACTCACAGACCGGATTGGGAGATCATGATCCCAGCCAAAGTCAGATGTTTAGCCAACAGAGCTACCCAGGAGTCTTTACTTATTATTATTATTATTTTTTTTTTTTAGAGAGAAAGAGCATGAGTAGGGGAAAGGGACAAAGGGAGAGAGAGACAATCTTAAGTAGGCTGCACACTCAGCGGGAGCTGACTCGGGGCTTGGTCCCACAACTCTGGGATCATGACCTGAGCAGAAATTAAGAGGTATTATATGCTGAACTGACTGAGCCACCCAGGTGCCCAAACTTTTTATTTTTCAATACTTTTTCTTGGGCGTACATTATTTTTATGTACTGCAGTTGTAGCATAAATATAATTTTGTACTGCTTTTTACTAGCATATCAAAAGTATTTCCCATGTTTTACATAATCATCTTCATAATATTAATTTTTAATGATGAAAGGATAGTTTATTGTAAACACAATTTACTTAACAGTTATTGGACATTCAGGCAGATTTCAGAGTTTTTTCCTTATAAATAATACTGTGATGAAGTCATCGTATATGTAATGTCATTCTTTTAGGTTGTGTCCTCAGGATAAATTCCCAAGAGTAAGATTACTAGATCAAAGTGTATAAAAACTTCAAGACTTCCTATACTTAGTGCCAGATGGTTTTATTAGTTTTCATGCCAGGAGCAGTGTCTGGCTATGCCATTTTCACTACAGCTTAAATAGTACTGCATGTTGTCATATTATTTTTTATTTTTTTTGTTTATTAGCTGTAAGTGTAAAATGTTTATAGCCTTTATTTCTTTTGATTTCTAGTGAGGATGGAGTTATTTCTATTTACTTGTAATTTGTATATCCTATATAATTTGCTTTATTTTTAAAATATGGGGAAGAGTAACACTCTACAAAATTGTTGTTCTTTTTAAAATAAATTGAATTTATTTCCTTTATTTTCTTTTAAAGCACCTTCTAGAGAGGTTGAAGATATGGGTTTTGATAAACAGAAATCTCCATTGGAGACACCAGCACCTCGAAGGTTTGCTCCTATACCGGTTTCAAAGGATGATAAGATCTCAAAGAGGGGAAATCCCATGGAAGAAAAAGAAAATATGGAGACAGTAGGTCATTCAGGTAATAAAACAATCATGACTAGCATCCACTACTTTATCTAGACCTACCTCAAATTAGAAACAGATTTCCACACCCCTGATTTTATAATTCTCTTATGCACCAAGTAGTAATGATAGTAGGAATTCTATTGTCAGTATTTCTCTTTAAATGATACTTACTGGGCAAATCAAGCTTCTTTAGATTCTTTGTAGAAGGAGTTGGAGATACACGTTTATAATTATTCTGATTATTTTCTTTTTTTTTTTTTTTTTTTTAAATTTTTTTTTTTCAACGTTTATTTATTTTTGGGGGGACAGAGAGAGACAGAGCATGAACGGGGGAGGGGCAGAGAGAGAGGGAGACACAGAATCGGAAACAGGCTCCAGGCTCTGAGCCATCAGCCCAGAGCCTGACGCGGGGCTCGAACTCGCGGAGTGCGAGATCGTGACCTGGCTGAAGTCGGACGCTCAACCGACTGCGCCACCCAGGCGCCTCATATTCTGATTATTTTCAACAGGTTATTACTTAAGCCTTTAATGAATAAGTTTTATTATTAATAAAAATAATACTTTACTAAAGGTAAGGCTGATCATTAGAGCATGTTTTCTTATATTGTTAGGTGTGAATTTCAGTAGTGAAACTCAGAGAAGTTTACATTTATTACTGTGTTCAGTTGGAAAAAGTGTTAAGGTACTAACTATTTAATAGCAAACAAGAACTTTTATTTATTATTTTTTTTAAAGGTTATTTATTTTGAGAGACAGAGAGAGAGACAGCACGAGTGGTGGCGGGGGTGGGGGGCAGAGAGAGAGGGAATGAGAGAATCCTACGCAGGCTCTGCTGACAGCATGGGGCCTGATGCTGGGCTCCATCTCAGGAACCATGACATCATGACCTGAGCCAAAATCGAGTTGGACGCTTAACTGACTGAGCCATCAGTCACCCCAGACAAGAACTTTTATAAGTGACCTGAAATAATAATTTGTTACGGACCCTTAAAATAAAGCCCTTCTAGTAAAAGTAAGTGAAAATGTTAAATATAAACTTTTATTCTGGGAATCACTTAAATGCATTCAAGCCTTGTCTTGGATGCATTTAAAGAGTTTTAAATATACTAAAATCTTTGCTAAACCAGCTTTACCAAAAGATAAAAGTTGTTATGTAGTCTCATTAAAGATGAGACTAATGGAGAGATTCAACTAACAGTTGCTGTAAAGAAACAGTCAAAGGGGTGCCTGGGTGGCTCTGTCCGTTAAGTGTCCGACTTTGGCTCAGGTCATGATCTCACGGCTAGTGAGTTCGAGCCCCACATCAGGCTCAGTGCTGACAGATCAGAGCGTGGAGCCTGCTTCGGATTCTGTGTCCTCCTCTCTCTCTGCCCCTACCCTACTCATGCTCTGTCTCTGTCTCCCAAAAATAAATAAACATTAAAAAAATTTTTTTAAAGCAGTCAGATCTCCCTTTAACTCTTGATAAAAATCTTACAATTTACTGGGCTTTGTGATGATGATATGTCTCATTCAAATTCCTTTTTTCTGTGATAGAAATAAATTCAGGCCTGAATTTTAAACAGTGTAGTTTTCATGAGTTATAAATATTTGGTTTGACTTGATGAGTGTATTTAAAGCCTACAAACATATGTGAGCTCTTATATAAAAAAAATGAATTAGTACTTTAAATATAATACTGTATTTCTCTTATTGTAGGAAATGTAAGACTATTGGAACAGATTTTGAATAACCATGATTCTTCGACAAGAAAAAGTGAATCTTCAGATAAAACCTTACTAAATAGGTCAAAAACAGAATGGAATCCTGAGAGCAGAGACAGGTAAACAAGACATTAGAATAAAAACTATATTGAAAAGAACTTTATTTCTAAAATGTCTTTAGGAATTTTGAAAAATGTATAGCATTGCTTTTAGTTTTTT